CCACTGCATGATGATGACAGAGACACAGAGGGAATGACGCCATGACAAAGGTTGTGCGGGGAGGGGGATGGAGGAAACAGGACAGCAGACTTTGTGGGTGTAGTGAGGACACACACTAAGCAGCCACCACATAGTAACTGCAGAAGCGGTTTTGCATAGGCATAATGATAATAAAAATGATAAATAGGGTTTAAGAAAAGAGAGGGTTTTGGGGGTTTTTTTAAAGGAAAAAAGGCAGTATCTGGTACATGAGCTCATCTGGTTAGGCCCAGTGCCAGAGTGTAAATCCCATTCCAGAATTAGTGAATTCCAGGGTTGAAATCATCATTAAGGTTCCCAATGTTCACTGTCCCTTAGATGGCTGATAGCCCTGGGCCACCTCCTCCACACAAGGTCACCCTGTTCCCTGCAGGGATGGTCCCCAGGTCCTCTCCAGGCAGTCTGTGAAACACAGCCCTAGGACCACCAGATTCACAGCCTAGAGGCTTGGGGTACACTGGGCCAGTTCCTAGGGATGTGGTCCTAAATGTCTTTGTTGCAGCCTTTCTGGTCCAGGCTCCCTGTGATAAACTCTGACATCTGCGTCACAGAGCAGGCATGAGGCTCAGGGGCAAAAGGGACCTGAAGCAGCCAGGGGCTGGTCAATACCACCTGGGGGTTTCCCCAGAGGGCACCACAGGCCTGCTGGGAGGCCCCATGCTGAGAAGGGAGCCCTGGGTGACCACTCACAGACTGAGGGTGGGAAACCAGGAGGCCACTGTCCTTACCAGAAGAAAGAAACTGAGGAGGGAGGGGAGCAACCTCAGCTCAGAGGCTCACACCCAAGTCTGAACTCTGCAGGTGCTCAGTGGTGAGTGGGACTTGCTCTGAATCAAAGTGGCAAGGGGTGCGCCTCCTCATTCTCTCCCTTGTCACTCCGTTCGTTCGGTCTTCATGATCCCTGGTCTGGAACTGCTCATGCAACATCTCCTCAACCGACCTCCCCAGTAACCTTTGCTTCTCTGCAATCCACTTGTCATGCTGTGGCCACACGGCTTCTGAGACATCAACCTGGCCATACCAACACTCTGCCCTCAGGAGAAAGTCCCAACCCTTCAGCGTGGAATAAGAGCCCCTCCTGTATCCTGCTGCCCTCTTCAGTCTGCACGCTGTTACCAGTCACACAGAATTCCTTAGGTCCTCCCTGCTTTCCAGGCTCTGGAAGGTGCTTAGAACATGCCCCACCCCTGCCAGCCCTTACTTTAGCAAAGCCCCCATCTTAGCCTTCAACACCGCACCCTGCGTGCCCATCTCTGTGTCTGTCCCTTCCCTTACACAGGGGCATCTCCAGGGCCCAGCGCATAAGAAAAACAAAATCCCTATAATACTCGTATGTATCA